TGAATTTCTTCCTTTGCCATGGATTCTACCTGGAAGATTGAGGGATTGTACACACAGTAGCAGTAGTAATTAAATGAACAGTAGTAGAAGCACTAATAATAATAGTAGTAGTACCCATAGTTGTTGAACTGCGAGGAGTACCAGATGATGGCGAAGACGGACATGACTGCTCCGGCCAGGTTGAAGATGAAGTTGAAGAGCAGGACACTGGGGCGTGGGTACTTCTCCGTCAGAATATTACTCACTCCGACGCCCACGAACAGCGCTCCCAACCACAGGGGGCAGTACATGTCTCTGAGCATGTACGAAGTGCTGACCCGAGTGAAGAGAAGGATGGAGCCCAGGGCCGCCTGCATCACACCAGCCATGATCCAGAGGGACCCCAGCACGGCGAGGGACCCGCGGCCAGGAATGGCCACGCGGCGGGACCTCGAGCAGAGCGCCGGGGTGTAGCACAGTGACCCCAAGAGCTGACAGACGGGAGGGCACGTGCTGGAGGGGTCAGAGGTCAGGGTGATTACAGTGACCCCCTCGGTGCGTTTCAGGGACATGGCCATGATGTTGACCTGGACACAAAACAAAGAAAATAAGTGTTGGCTGAGTTATACTCTCAAACAGAAAACACTCTGTTCCACCTTGTTATGTCATGTGATAATACAGGAAGCGCTCCACTGTGTTTTTAAACTCCATACACCTTCACTATAGACAAATCCCATGAAACACGGAAGCAGAGCGGACGTAAAGCAGTGCTGCCATTACTGCGGTGCTCTGCTGCTAAGAGCAGAAGTAGTAGCGTATTGGTCTCGTAGCAGTAGTTGCTCAGACTTTAGCCAAAGTCCTTCTATTTGTCCACATTGTGTTAAGAGTTCACTGGGTGCGAGAACCTGACGACACCCTTCAACATGATGACCTCTTCTGCGATGGCGTGCAGAATCTGGCCAATCCATCCGGACCGCAGATAGTTCAGCCCTTCTATCAAGGCCCTGTAGTTTAATAATACCTGTAAGAACATTTATTTTACTGCTACAACTGGTAATGTTTTTTTTTTACAACTCGTGGTGTGTGTGAACAACTATGACAGTGTCAGAGTCCTGCACCGGGTCGGGTTCCCGCGTGAGAGAGAGAACCACCGGGCCATGGAGCAGGGTGTCCGCAAAGAACAATCGGGCGAACGGCTGCGCTTAGTGCCTTGCGGTCACCCAACGGTCTACGTGGGCACAGATCCGGGTCAACTAGTCCACTTTATATTTTACAATTATTATTATATCTGTTTTAAATCTGTAAAACCCCTCACCACACACTTTATACACTTTTCTCACACAGGACAGTTACAACACTTTTTACATCCTTCTTAAAACTTATAGCTGCTGTCGTCCTTTTGTTATTTTCCTCCTTCTTTATGTAGCAAACCAAATGTAAATTTATTTTGTAATGAAGCCCTACAGCGCAGAGTCCTGCACGGGTCCAGTTTTGGAGACACGTCGCTGCACAGTACAGGACCACATCCGCCCGCACCTGCCTGTTAACCTGAGATTATATCAAACTTTTGTGCTCCATACACCATGGCCTGAACCAAGACTAAACCAGGACTAACCCAGGACTAACATAGGACTGATTCCAGGACTGAAGAGGAGGACTAAAACGGAACTAAACCAGGACTGAACTAGGACTAAAAAAAGACTAAAACAGGACTAATCCAGGACTAACTATGGACTAAACTAGGACTGATTCCAGGACTGAAGAGGAGGACTAAATCAGGACTGAACTAGGACTAAAACAGGACTAAACCTGGACTAAAACAGGATTAAACCAGGACTGAAGAGGAGGACTAAACCAGGACTGAACTAGGACTAAACAGGACTAAACTAACCTAGGACTACAGGACTGAAGAGGAGGACTAAACCAGGACCGAACTAGGACTAAAATAGGAGTAAACAAGGACTAAAGCAGGAGTAAACCAGAACTGAACCAGGACTCACTGTCGGGATGGGCTCGGAGGTGACAGCAGGAGAAAGGACCGGCTCAGCTCCGCACCTCACGAAGGTAAATGCCGCAATTGCCCGACTGCACAGCTCTTCAGAATCACACTGCAGCGATCGAACATTTATGTAAATTTGTCGAGCTGAACACATTCTGTCCTGTACAGGAGACACGGCACGGAGGAGACTGATTAACAATGGTCTACAGTCCTTTAAGTGGGACGTACACTGTGCGATTTTTGACCCTTTTTGAGACGATTTTTCACTCATGTTTTGGGGATCAGGAAGAGTTTTGGCTTCATCGTGTGTCGTGCTGCGTGTCGTAAACATGGGGTAAGGAAATCCGATTAATACCTCACAACCAGCTCCCGATCGACATTCGTAGGTCGCAAGAAAATCAAACTTGTTTAAAATCCAGTCGCCTCTCGTGAGGGTTTCGCTGATTCGCCGATTTGTCAGAATCTGTCAGACTGAGCATGTGCGGACGCAGAAGAGGAAGCAGGATATGAGGTTGTGGAGGACGATGGCGCCGGCGACTGTTTTGGACACAGAACATGGAGACGCAACTAATCGAGCAACACAGAACAGAAGTTTGCTGAAAAACTTGATGCTATTGTTTTTTTATGTATGCATTTATTCTGGGCAAGTAAAGATTTACATTCACATACAATGGAACATATAGGCGAGTTTCAGCTGACGTCATTGTTATTAAAAGCCCGCGTTGCATGCTGGGAAATATTTTGGTCAGAGGCAAGAAACACGATAGCGTCAAACACAGTGTGTAACCTCGCGTATTTATCCCTGATAATGGTAAATTCCTGCTGCATTATCGGATGCACAAATAGAAGCACGGAAGAAGGAAAATGTCTTTTTCGTATTCTGAGTGAAAAGAACCACTAACGGTGAATTAAACGGCTTTCAAACATTCGCAGAGCAAACGTAGAAGATCCTAACAAACCGTGGACTCCAACAAGTTCAACAACACATCGAGACTCTTGGAGGTTTTCATCTTTTCTGCTGTGAATGGCCCAGGAGTTTCCACCAAGTCATTGTGGATATCACCGAAATGAATATTTGTCCAGGTAGTTGGCGATTCTGACCAGAAATTTGGTTTGGTCCACCTTTTGTCGGGGTTGAAAAGGGTGATTTGTCGTCCGTCGATGCTTATGACCAATTTCTGGTCAAATGGTCTTGGGTCGTCTGCCGTTAGAGTGGATAAATAACCGGGATCAATACCCTTTACGTGCTTTCTCGCTCCGTCCATCATGTTGAATTAGTGTTTCTTGCCGCCACCAAAATAATTCCCAGCATGCAACGCACGCTTTTGTCAACAATGAAACTCGCCTATAACATAAGTGAAATCATAGTAGAAATGAAAATATCAACAAAAAATGTACTATTATTATTATTTTGCCCAAAAAGGAGTGGGAAGAAGAAAACTTATTTAATCCCACCCCTACTCTTCATAATCTAACACAATGAACTTCTTTTGCATTTTTCAGACATATTGAATTAAACTACATGAACTATTTACAAGTGCAGACAAAGAGTCACTGTTATAGTTTGGTAGTATAACATAAGTGCACCAACAATGGTAAAGTCAAGGATACAGACAACGGTAAGAAACAACAAATACAAGTAATGTAACGGACAGAACAAACCAGCAACGGTAAGAAAACAACAAACATAAACCAGCGCTACAGAGGCAGTGTTCTGTTATGGATGAAGTCTTGTTTAAAAAATGTTTGAATGTATAATTCTCCTGTTTTTGTGTTTCCTGGATTTTGCTTGAGCACGGTGCCATCTGGTGGACACCTTTAGAACTGCACGCAGAGCACGTGTTTGATAAAAACTTTATTGAACGCAAGTAACAGTTGTAAACGTCAGACATGGCAGCCCGCAGTTGCCCTTTTTGAGTCCGCAGTTCTTTGTTTTAAGGTTGCATCGCCGGTACGTATTTTCTACCAATGTTCGGCAACTTTGGTTATGATTATTTGCAGGTCCAGCTTTGTAGTGTTTTTGATGCTAGCCTTATAATGTGGTGGTTGTACGCGAACCACTCAGCTCTCGAGATGGCGTCGGTTAGCCTCCGGGGTGTGGATTTGCCTTGTGTTTTGTGACTGTTGTAGACGTGTTGTAATGTTGTATTTTTTCTGCTCTCCAGTTTCACCTTCTTGAGCATCATTAAACCTGCTTAAAGACAATCACGTCTGTAGAGTCGTTGATGTGAGAGAAGTGTTATCGCCATATTTACCGTTACGGCACAGGCAGTACCGCCCACGTCTACGCAGACATTTCTTTGATCAGATTCGTCGCCTCTTCTTTTTTGTGCTTGTCTGTGCACAAATTGCCGAGGCAGCGCGTCTGTTTTTTTTGTCTGGATCGGCGTTGTGTCTGTGGTTTTCTTCTTCGTGGTTTTCTACTTCCGGAACAACAACGTACAGTGCGCGCAGACAGGTCACATCCGAGAACATGATTCGTGAGCGGTGAACTTTTAAACCCTGTGATTTGGTCGTACAGTTTAAGCTGAGGCTGAGTGACACGACCGAAAATATCCCACAGTGTGCATTAGCCACAGGCCTGGTGGTGTTCCTCTTTTATTAATTGTTTTAATCTCACCAGTTCCTGTTGTATGTTTTTTTGTTTGTTTGTTGTTTCAGCTTAAGCGTCTGCCTACCTTTTTAACCCACTCGCTTTACCTTCTCGTTTGGTAATTTAAGTTCTGTATGACTATATTTTTCATTCTTTGTTTCTGTGGCCTGTTAATGTTTCTTTGTGTTTCTTAGACGCCGCTGGCCATTTGCCGTTTTATTTCGATCTTTTGCGTTGGTTGTTTTGGGTATAATTTGTCCGTATATTGAGTTCATATTCATTTGTTTTGTTAACCTCTTAGTTGTATCTTTTTGGTTTGTGTTGACTTATTGTTTTTCTTACTGCAGGGCTGGTTGGACGTGGGCGCCCGTCTAGTTCTGTTTCAGACCTGTTTTAGTCCTGGTTTTAGTCCTGGTTTTAGTCCTGTTTTAGTCCTGGTTTTAGACCTGTTTTAGTCCTGTTTTAGTCCTGGTTTTAGACCTGTTTTAGTCCTGGTTTTAGACCTGTTTTAGATCTGTTTTAGTAGTCTTTTTAGGTTTTTTAGACCCTGTTTTAGATCTGTTTTTAGTCCTGTTTCAGTCCTGTTTTAGTCCTGTTTTAGTCCTGGTTTTAGTCCTTTTTAGTCCTTGTTTTAGACCTGTTTTTGTCCTGGTTATAGTCCTGTTTTAGTCCTGTTTTAGACCCTGTTTTAGATCTGTTTTAGTCCTGTTTTCGACCCTGTTTTAGATTGTCCTTTTAGTCCTGTTTTAGAGTCCTGATTTTAGTCCTGTTTTTAGTCCTGTTGTTTTAGACCTGCTTTAGTCCTGTTTAGTCCTGTTTTAGTTTTTAGTCCTGTTTTAGTCCTGTTTTAGACCTTTTAGTTTTTTAGATCTGTTTTTGTCTTGTTTTAGTCCCATTTTAGTCCTGTTTTAGACCTGTTTTAGACCCTGTTTTAGACCCTGTTTTACATCTGTTTTAGACCTGTTTTAGTCCTGGTTTTAGACCTGTTTTAGTCCTGTTATAGTCCTGGTTTAGACCTAGTGTAGTTCTGGTTTTAGTTGTGGTTTAGAGGTGCGACTCGTGCGACGTACGGGGGGTTTGAGGTCGCACTTTCACGGCTCGGTACCAAACGACCTTTATACAACAAACTTATTAAACCTTATTACTAATTAAACCTTGGTCCTAAAGTCTGGGCCTCTTCCACGTGCGCCCTCAGCCCTGAGTATTTTAACATTTTTTATTTATTTATTATATTTTTTTTTAGTTTCTCAAACCACTGGAATAAGTTCATTTATTTGGTGAAGCATCTCTATTTGAAACAATAGAAATAACAGGACTTTATCGTTCCAAGTGTTTAATTACTTCAATCTACTAAGTTGTACCTCATCTATGTTTTTAAGTTACGCTCGTTTACACCCACGATAGTTCCCTTTAATCAAAAAATTTAGTTAAAATGACTCAAAAAGAAGAACCTGTTACAGCAACTTGACATAATTAAGTAAGTTAGTAGGACTATTTCTAAAACTTTGACTATACACAACTTAATCTATTTATAAGAGCGTCTTACCTTCGTCGTATGCAGTACTCTGTGTGAATTTGGAGCGGAAACTGTATGTACTGTATGTTTTTATGCTGAGATGTGTGCACCTTGAAGTTCCCCGTGTTTTTTCCGCACAAGCTCTGCCCCCTCAGACCGTTTCCTCTGCTGGGTTTGTTTACTGGAAACGCTGTGTTTTTTTCAAAATATAGACGCAAAAATGAGAAACTAAATCACATTTGAAGGATACAGTATATTACAGAGCCTCCAGAGTAAATATTTATCCTCTAAACTCTACCAAAGTTTAGTTTACGGTTCTCCTCAGTTCATGTGTGACTAATTTCGGAATAAATGTATAGCAACTTCAGTTTTCATCGTCATGTTTTGAAGCTGTGCCAACTAATCAGTCAGTTCCTCAAATCTGAAATATGCAGTAACCTTTAAGAGTAAGTTCATCTTTTTTGATAAAACCACAGAACCTGCTTTGAACAGGGAATGGGAACGGAAGTGTGCTGTGCAGTGCTTTCTGGGGCGGTGTAATGCCCATACAGGAACCTTGGCGGTCTGAGAGGAACAGAGTCGAGTTCAGCTGATTTTTTTAGTGCAGACCAACCAAGAAAAAAAATCTAAAAATATTTACAAAAAGTACAAAAGTTAAAAACAGGTATGGCCGTAACCTGCAGTCGCACACAACACCTTTCTCTAGACAAAGGTGAGGCCGGCTCCTTTTATAGGACTCCTGTTGTAACTGGGTGAGCTCATCTCCAACTGCAGGTAAAACATCAAACCTCCATGTTTGTTTTCCCAGTGGGATGCGTCTATTGTCAAAGTTGATCTTTTCAAGTCTTTTGAACCAGATCTCTTTTGTTTCTGGTTCTGATATTGTCATATTTTAGTTTTAGGATTTGGACATCGTAATTATGTGACTGTTGGATGTCCCAACAGCGGAAAACGGGCTTCGGAAGTTTGCGAACTCCATAAATGCAAAAGAGAATCAGATCTGTGTGACTGCAAACCTCTGTTCAAACAGTTTTCCTTCCCAACGGAATTGAAAAATAGTGAAAGTGATGGGCAGGACTGATACACAGGAAGGACCAAAAACAAAACCTTTGGCCGCCTAAGAAATCATCCCGAGTTTGAAGCGAACATTTTGCATGTGGAACGCCATTGTGTAGGTGGAGATACATGGGATAAAGTGAGGACCGTCAGTGTCTCCGGATGTCTTTCCTGTACAAATAAAGTGACTTGTGTAATGACAAAACTTTACAGTTGACTTGAGCTCACCTCACATGTGGCAGCAAAAACAGTTGCAATGCAACACAGGAAAATTCAGCCATGGTACATGAGCCAGTGATACTCAATTTGATCAAGTAATTATTCACATTTTCATATATGTAGAACTGAATAAATGTGTTTATAAAAGCGGCGATGCAGACCAGCTCCAGGCTCACCTGATATGAAGTAATCACTGTAGATGAGGGCATTTTTAATCATCTACTCAGTCCAACCGCTTCTTCTGATGCTGGAAACCAAAGACGTCTCTCGTTTGCCTTGAAAGGGAAACGAGTTGATGGAAATACAGGTGTCAAACTCAAATTCACACAGGGTCAAAATTAAAACCTGCAACTAAGTCGTGGGCCAAACTAAATATTTAATGAAACATTTTAACATCTGTATGTTTTCTTTCGAGATATGTAATATTAAACCTTTTCTTATTAAAATAAATGTTTAATAATAGTTTTGCTTAAACATTGAATCCAGAACAAGCAGAATATAAAATAAACTACATTTTAAATAAATAATGTCTCTATAGTCTATCTGTAGCCAGCGAGCCAGCTCTTATATATATATATATATTTGATATGATCTTGTGGGCCAAATATAATTATATCATGGGCCAAATTTGGCTCCTGGGCCTGAGTTTGACATGTCTCCTATAAAACTTACACGTTTTGTTGTTTTTATCAAAACAGTTTGTTGTTGCTTCCAGTAGCACAAAGACAAGACAGCAGCTCTTTCTGCAAACCACATGTGCAGTAGAGCAGAGTGACGTAGTCTGCTATTCCCTGATTGGCTGTTTAAAAAAATACAAATAAATAAATAAAACACATTTACGCATCAAACACTGTCAGGAAAAGTGCTGTGGCTGCACCACACTGCCATCTGCTGGTTGTTCAGTCGAGGAATATTTCAAAATTGCGTCATGGAGAGAAAAGCAAAACAGGGATCGAAAATATATTTATAAATACACATTTATTTATACAAATTTGTTTATTTTTTTGTCACTTTTTATATTTGTTTTTTGTATTTGGATATTTGTATTTGTATATGTATGTATATTTATATATATCATTTTTTATTTGTGTAAATCTTTATGAGACAATTCTCACTCCATACAAATTGGTCCCTGTACCTGCTGGCACTGTGAACTTCATTTGACTGGAGCTGAACACTGTGAGTGACGTCACTTCATCCTTCAGTCCATTTTTTTATACGACCTATTTAAAGAATAACTATTGAGAAGAAACAACATTACACAAAGAACAACATTTTCAAAAGGATAGACACAAATATTAGAAAGTAAATCACATCTGAAGGACAGAGAATAATTATAGAGCCTATAGAGCAGTATTTGTACTAGAAGTAGTAGTAGTAGTAGTAGTAGTAGTAGTAGTACTAGTGGAGGACGTTGTCAAAGCTCAGTAGGTCTTTTTGAAGTACAAGGATTATGTAGTAAAATATTTGTCCTCTAAACTCTCCCAGAGTTTGTACCAGAGTACTTTCCTCACTCCTGGTTTTGTTCAGTGGAAATTAAACACACACACACACACACACACACCACATTCATACTGGGGAAGGTGGTGAAGTGTCTTGCCAAAGGACACAACAACAGTGCACTAGACACTGTGTTTTTCAAACTGTTGTGTGTAACAATTCCTCAGTTTGTTGGTTAGATTAATTTAGAAATAATTACACCGCAAGTTAAGTTTACTTGTGTTGCTAATACTGCTACTGCTATTACTGTTACTACTATTCACTACTGCTACTAGTACTACTACTATTATACTACTACTATTACTACTTAAAACGTCTACTACTACTACTCACTACCACTTGTTTTGATTGTTTCTACCTGATCTTCTTGATAATAAAAACCAAGAGCCACATTTTGTGAGATTTTACATTGTTTTATTTAGAGGAAAATCCTTCACCTGCAGGTTTGTCATGGTGAACTTCAGACACATGAGGAGAGACGCCCACAGTGGGTCGAGTGTTACTACAGGATCCATCAGGTCAAACAGCTGTTTGTGTCAGAAAATACAAGAGTCTGAACAAGACGAGGCACAAAATACAACAGACCCGGGCCTAAGACACGTTTATGACATATCAGGAGAAATAACAACGAAATACCCAACCTTTAAATTTGACTGCAACTTCACTGCAAATCTGTGATTTCTGTCATACTGATTAGTACTTAAAAGTATTTTACTTCACACTGAGAAAAATATTACCAGGAAATATACACATATATATAAAACATACACAAAGTGCAGTACAAGCTGTCTTTGGTGATGAGTTTATCAGAAACTATTTGACATAAATGTGACAGTGGTTATTTTAATTCCAAGGTGGAAATAGGCTACTACAAGATAAACTTTTTTATATATTTTTTTGTTTTTTTCCATTAGGGATTCACAGATACCGATACCAGTACCTGGTACTTGCTTGTACTTGTACTTGTACTTGTACTTGTACTTGTACTCGCCTGTACTGCTAAAACCAAGAACTGATTCCACTGTAGCTGCAGTGTGTTTTTATTTAACGCCCACGTCTCAGACGAGCAGAGAGCTGAACTTTGTGAGACTAAAACACTTAAATCTGATGTGACGGTCAAATGTTTTGATAGTTCATAAATGTTATCAGCTCAGTGCTTGTGTTTACGTAGTAGCATGCTAACATGGCTAACATGGCTAACGTGGCTAACGTGGCTAACATGTGATTATAACTGAAAACCAAGAGCAGTCTGCAGTCGTATGGTTAGAAGTAAAAAGTAAAGGTGCTTCTAAAGAGTATTAGATCTAACTATAATGATCTTAGTAGAAATTTAAAACAGCTCCCACAAATAGTTACTTTAATGTAATACAAAAAAGTAGTGTATCTTATAAAGATAATACTTGGTGTTGGTATCGTTAATTGGTATTGGCAAGTACTCAAAATGAAGTACTCGTACTGGTATCGGTTTTGGAAAAGTTGGTATCGGTGCATTCGTGCTTTTCACAGAACACTCCACACGTTCACTCCTGGTCGTGCTGGCTGGCTGCAGTTCCGTCGTCCTCCAGCAGGGCCGTGCTCAGGTCCTTGCTCAGGTCCGTGCTCCTGCTCAGGTCCGTGCTCTCGCTCTTGTCTTGTGGGGATTTGAGGGCTTTGATGCTGAGAATAGTTGAGCTGAGCCACAAACATGGTCCCAGGACAGCCATGGCCATCAGCACCACACTCACCCCAAACACCACCGACTTGAGAGCTTGCTGCACCTTTCGAGTCTGCTGCCGCACCGCCTCCTCGTGGGGGTTCGGGGTAGTGGTTTGCCTTCCATGCCAGTAATAATCATTACCAAGGTCCAAACACCGGAAGATGGGGCTGTAACTACAAGAGGTCAGTGGTGAGCAGGGCTATGGGAATAATGGGAAGTGGGACAAGACCACTCAAAGTAAACAAAGTAAACAAAAACTAAAATACTTGTGTAAAATTACTCTTATTTTGGTACTTAGACAAAATTATTTTACATTATGGATGCATTTTTGAATGGCAAATTAAGCTTTGGTATACTGGAAAATATAACATGATGAAAGTCATCATCTTAATTTGAGTAGTTTTGCTTATAGTTTAGATGTTCTACTACGCCATAGGCCAAACTTTGACCTATTCCAAAGGACAAAGAGAGCTAAAATAGGAGGTGAAGTAGGAAGTAGTAGTAGCAGCACTGCTAGTACTAGTAGTAGTAGTAGTAGCAATAGTAGTGGTTGTAGTAGTCATAATAGTAGTAGTCATAGTAGTTGTAGTAGTAGTAGTAGTAGTAGTCATAGCAGCATTAGTAGTAGAACTGAGTTCATGTCCATAATGGAGGGGTTCACTTCAGCTCCACTTCTCAGTTGACAAACACAAACAGCAGCAGTAGTAAAGGAAGAAATTCAATTTGTCACCTGGACAAAAGTTTATTTTGGTCGGATATGTTTCTCAGTTCATCCAAGCTGCTTCTTCAGTTCTGGTCAGACACTGGTGGACACTTCTTTATATCTGCCGAAAGGGAGGAGCAAACTACACTGAAACTACTCTGAAACATACCTACTTGTTTACAGTTTCCGTTAGCTAGGCCTATTGAACTTGCCCTTGATTATGGCCCTGAAGGATTATGGTAATATGACCCCACACTCAGTGCAAGTTCATTAGGTCTAGTTAACAGAAACTGTAAACAAGCAGCTGTGTTAGTTTCAGAGTAGTTTCAGGGTAGTTAGCTCCTCCCTTCAGGCAGATATGAGGAAGTGTCCACAAGTGTCTGACCAGAACTGAAGAAGCAGCTTGGATGAACTGAGAAACTTATTCGACCAAAATAAACTTTTGTCCAATTGACAAATTGAATTTCGTCCTTTGCCATGGATTCTACCTGGACGACTGAGGGATTGTACACACAGTAGAAGTACTAAATAAATGAACAGTAGTAGTAGTACTAATAATAACAGTAATAGTAGTACCAATAGAAGGTGAACTGCGAGGAGTACCAGATGATGGCGAAGACGGACATGACTGCTCCAGCCAGGCTGAGGATGGAGTTAAAGAGCAGGACACAGGGGTGTGGGTTCTTCTCTGTCTGAATATTACTCACTCCAACGACCACGAACACAGCACCTATCCACATGGGGCAGTACGTGTCCAAGAGTGAGAATGAAGCAGTGCCCCTGTTGGAGAAAAGGATGGCGGCCAGGGCCGGCTGCATCAGACCGGCCATGATCCAGAGGGACCCCAAGACGGTGAGGGACCCGCGGCGAGGAATGGCCATGTGGCGGGAGCAGAGCGCCGGGGTGTAGCACAGTGACCCCAAGAGCTGACAGACTGGAGGGCACGTGCTGGAGGTGTCAGAGGTCAGGGTGATTACAGTGACCCCCTCGGTGCGCTTCAGGGACATGGCCATGATGTTGACCTGGACAGAAAAAAAGGAAAATAAATAAGTGTTGGCTGAGTTCTTCTGTCAAACAGATAATGGATCATGTTTACTGAATAAAAGGTAAAAGGTACACTGTAAAATCGAATAAGTAGACCTTACTTGAAAAAATCTAGGAACCCGATTGCCTTGAAGAATGTGCCTAAAGTGGACTGTGAATCTAAAGCTGAGCTACAGGTAATTCCTCAGTGTAGTGTTCAGTAAATCCCTCTTTCATCTAACTAGCCTCAGCAAGTTAAGTTTAACTTTAGTTTTCATAGCACTCATGTTGTGAATCTGAGCCAACTAATCAGTCATTTCCTCAAAGTAAAGCAAATGTTATTTATATACATAACTTAGAGTAAAAACCGATTTAGTCCACAGGAACGCCATTTAGTTCTGCATCAGGTACAAGGATTTTAATATTTACTAGTCTTTGAAAAAACGTAGCAAAACTTTTGTTCAGCTTAAATTCTAACATGTGTAAGAATAAAATAATAAATTTCAATCATTCCACATCAACTCAACCAAGGCCCTTGCACCTAGAGCTCAAAAAATGCTGGAAGAAACAAAACAGGCGGAACAGGTGGAAAACAGCACAGACTGAATGAACAGAGGGAGGATATAGAGACGATCCTGGGATAATTCGGGAATGAGTGGCAGTTGTAGGAAAAACAGACAGGTAGCAAAAGGAGGACCGGAACAGACTAGAAAACGGAGCTGGACTCCTGACAATAACATGTCACTGTTGAAGTTTCTCGTCTCATTTAAGTTGAACAGAGTCTAATTGACAAGTAATGTGCTTTTTTCTCCCTGAAAGTCACTGTTACTTTACCACAATCATTAAGATCCACAAATTTGTAGCTGTGAGTAAAGAAAATGAGCTGAATGCAAGTTAATCCTAGAGTTAGATTTTACAGTGTAGCTGTTAACGTATACTACAGCTTCATGACATCACAAGGTGGAACGGAGCATTTTGTAGACAGACTAATAATAAAGAGTTACTCAAACATGTGAATGAAACAAAACACAACTCCAGGTCTGTTTTTAAGGAGGTAACAACATTCTAACTTGGCTAAAAGCTCACAAGAGTCAATACTGTGTAATATAGGACATTTTAAATTTTACTTCCTGGTTTGAAAGCGTGACATCACACTTGGGAATTTCATAATTGTTACCTTTATACAAAAGGTAACAAGGGTGTATCTTCTAACACACACAGGGATTATTATCAAACAAATACAAAAACAGTAATTGCACCAGCAATAAAAACTATTCATAAGTCGCCTATTTGGACATTAAATGTAGCCTATTTCTTCTTTTTTTTCTCGACATTCAATTGAACCAGCAATATTGGAACAAAATAGTCAATAAAATAATTACAAAAAGATTTGAAATCATACAAAACATGTCTTAACATTTCAACATTTCTAATGAGATATTTGGGCCTGTCTGTGTTTTTGTAGCATGTTCCAGTCCAGGTGCAGGAGGAGACGCAGCAGCAGATCACGAGCAGCGTTCAATCTGTTTCTTGTCTTCATTTTTGTGATCAGAGAAAATCACAATTCACACAAATATGTAGTAGTGAAAGGAATACGCAGAGAAACACTGGCCCCACTGTGGACAGGATATTCTGACAAAATGCTGATCCAGAGTGACGTTAACACTGTACATTGCAGACCTACATGCAGATTGTGACAAGGCGACCCAAAAAAATCTCTTGTGACTCACCTGAGTCTTTGGGAAACAATGCTCTAAACCAGGCATGTCCAAACTATGGCCTGGGGGCCAAATGCGGCCCTCAGACAATTTTTTCTTGGCCCTCAGACTTCCAGGTAAATTGGCCCAAATTATCTTGCATCAATTAAAAAATACTATTTTACTGCAAGTTTGTTGAAAATCTACCTTGATAAAGCGAATATTGAATATTTAGTGTGTGGTTTTAAGGATCTTAGCATGAATAAAGACTGACGGCTCATTCTAACATGTTAAACATGCACATATTTGAATAATTCCCTGTACTGAGCATCAGTTTACGGCCCTCGATCGGCCCTTCTGCTTCATCTGTGTTTAGATATGTGGTCCTTGATGAAAAAAGTTTGGACACCCCTGTTCTAAACTCTCCCAGTTTGTACCAGAGTTGTAGCTTTAGTCCTGTTTATCTTTCTGTACAGCAAATACTAAGACTTAATACTATATAAGAGTGTCTTACCTTAGTAGTATGCAGTACTGTGTGTATTTGGAGCGGAAATACTGTATGATTGTATACTGGAAAGTCTGCAACCTGAAGTGCTCCATGTTTTCAGGACAAGCCCCGCCCCATCACACTTAACTCTTTCTTCACTCCTGGGTTGGTCTGTGGTATTTTCAAAGCTTAGAACAAAAATGATAAACTAAATCACATCTGAAGGACAGAGTAGAGTATAGAGCCTATAGAGTAGTAGCAGTAGTAGCAGTAGCAGTATTAGTAGTAGTAGTACTAGTGGAGGACGTTGTCAAAGCTCAGTAGGTCTTTTTGAAGTACAAGGATTATGTAGTAAAATATTTGTCCTCTAAACTCTCCCAGAGTTTGTACCAGAGTATTTTCCTCACTCCTGGTTTTGTTCAGTGGAAATTAAACACACACACACACACCACATTCATACTGGGGAAGGTGGTGAAGTGTCTTGCCAAAGGACACAACAACAGTGCACTAGACACTGTGTTTTCCAAACTGTGGTGCGTGACAGTTCCTCAGTTTAATAGAAATAATTTTATTTAATTTAGAAATAATTACACAGCAAGTTAAGTTTAACTTTTGTTGCTAATACTACTTATAATCTTGCAAGTACTGCTACTGCTATTGCTGTTACCACTACTACTACTCCTACTACTACTACTGCTACTAATACTCACTGCTGCTACTAGTACTACTACCTCACTACTGCTACTACGACTCACTACTAGTCACTACCGCTTCTACTGGTACTCACTACTGCTACTACTACTACTGCTACTACAACTATTATTACTCACTACTACGGCTACTACTAGGACTCACAATTATTATTACTACTACTATTACTACTCACTAGTACTCACTACTGCTACTACTACTACTACTACAAGTACGACTTACTACTGCTACTTCTATTACTACTCACAACTCCTCAGTACTACTACTACTTCTCACTACTGGTACCACTACTACTACTACTACAACTCACTCCTGCTATTACTACTGCTACTTTTCACTACTGCTCATACTCCTACTACTATTATTACTACTAAGTACTACTCACTACTGCTACTACTTCGACTACTCACTATTGCTACTACTACAATTACTACCCACTACTACTCACCACCACTAGTATTACTACTGACTACTACTACTGACTACTACTACTACTACTACTACTACCACTACTACTACTACTACTACTACTCACTACCATTAGTTTTGGTTGTTTCTACCTGATCTTCTTGATAATAAAAACCAAGAGTCACATTTTGTGAGATTTTACATTGTTTTATTTAGAGGAAAATCCTTCACCTGCAGGTTTGTCATGGTGAACTTCAGACACATGAGGAGAGACGCCCACAGTGGGTCGAGTGTTACTACAGGATCCATCAGGTCAAACAGCTGTTTGTGTCAGAAAATACAAGAGTCTGAACAAGACGAGGCACAAAGTACAACAGACCCGGGCCTAAGACACGTTTATGACATATCAGGAGAAATAACAACGAAATACCCAACCTAGTATTTACCAGCACCTGGTACTTGCTTGTACTTGTACTTGTACTTGTACTCGCCTGTACTGCTAAAACCAAGAACTGATTCCACTGTAGCTGCAGTGTGTTTTTATTTAACGCCCACGTCTCAGACGAGCAGAGAGCTGAACTTTGTGAGACTAAAACACTTAAATCTGATGTGACGGTCAAATGTTTTGATAGTTCATAAATGTTATCAGCTCAGTGCTTGTGTTTACGTAGTAGCATGCTAACATGGCTAACGTGGCTAATGTGGCTAACGTGGCTAACGTGGCTAACATGTGATTATAAGTGAAAACCAAGAGCAGTCTGCAGTCGTATGGTTAGAAGTAAAAAGTAAAGGTGCTTCTAAAGAGTATTAGATCTAACTATAATGATCTTAGTAGAAATTTAAAACAGCTCCCACAAATAGTTACTCTAAAGTAATAATTAAAAAAAAAGTAGTGTACCTTATAAAGATAATACATGGCATCGGTATCGCTACTTGGTATTGGCAAGTACTCAAAATGAAGTACTCGTACTGGTATCGGTTTTGGAAAAGTTGGTATCGGTGCATTCGTGCTTTTCACAGAACACTCCACACGTTCACTCCTGGTCGTGCTGGCTGGCTGCAGTTCCGTCGTCCTCCAGCAGGTCCGTGCTCAGGTCCGTGCTCAGGTCCGTGCTCAGGTCGTGCTCAGGTCCGTGCTCAGGTTCGTGCTCAGGTTCGTGCTCAGGTCCGTGCTCAGGTCCGTGCTCAGGTTCGTGCTCAGGTCCGTGCTCAGGTCCGTGCTCAGGTCCGTGCTCTCGCTCTTGTCTCGTGAGGATCTGAGGGCTTTGATGCTGAGAATAGCCGAGCTAAGCCCCAAACACAGACCCAGTCCAGCCATGACCATCAGCAGCCCACTCACCCCAAACACCAACGACTGGAGGATCTCTCGCAAATTCATACACCATCGCACTTCTGCCACCAGCCGGAGGTTTGGGGTAGTGGTGGTCCTCCGATTCCAGTAATAACCATTTCGGTCCGAACATGAGAAGAATTCGCTGAAAATACAAGAGGTCAGTGGTTAGGGTTATGGGAATATGGGAAGTACAAGCTCAAGCAAAGTACACAAAGAACAAAAACTACATGTGAATACTTGTGTAAAATTACTGGAAAATATAACATGATGGAAGTCATAATCTTAATTTTAGTAGTTTTGCTTATAGTTTAGATGTTCTACTACACTAGAGACCAAACTCTGACCTATTCTACTGAACTTGCCCTTGATTATGGCCCTGAAGGATTATGGTAATATGACCCCACACTCAGTGCAAGTTCATTAGGTCTAGCTAACAGAAACTGTAAACAAGCAGCTGTGTTAGTTTCAGAGTAGTTTCAGTGTAGTTAGCTCCTCCCTTCAGGCAAATATAAGGAAGTGTCCATCAGTGTTTGACCAGAACTGAAGAAGCAGCTTGGATGAAACTTACCGACCAAAAAACTTATTCGACCAAAATAATCTTTTGTCCAGTTGACAAATTGAATTTCTTCCTTTGCCATGGATTCTACCTGGACGACTGAGGGATTGTACACACAGTAGCAGTAGTAATTAAATGAACAGTAGTAGTAGTACTAATAATAATAGTAGCAGTACCGATAGCTGTAGAACTGCGAGGAGTACCAGATGATGGCGACGATGGACATGACTACTCCGGCCAGATTGAAGATGGAGTTTAAGAGGAGTACACAGGGGCGTGGGTACTTCTCTGTCAGAATATTACTCACTCCGACACCCATGATCAGCACTCCCAACCACAGGGGGCAGTACGTGCTTAGGAGCATGTATGAAGCAGTGCCGCTAGTGAAGAGGAGGATGGAGGCCAGGGCCACCTGCATCAGACCACTCATGATCCAGAGGGACCCCAAGACGGCGAGGGACCCGTGACCAGGAATGGCCACGTGGCGGGACCTCGAGCAGAGCGCCGGGGTGTAGCACAGTGACCCCAAGAGCTGACAGACGGGAGGGCACGTGCTGGAGGTGTCAGAGGTCAGGGTGATTACAGTGACCCCCTCGGTGCGTTTCACGGACATGGCCATGATGTTGACCTGGACAGAAAACAAAGAAAATAAATAAGTGTTGGCTGAGTTCTACCCTCAAACAGAAAACACTTTGTTCCACCTTGTGATGTCACATGGTAATACAGGAAGTGCTCCACTGTGTTTTTTTTGGGGGTTTTTTTTTACACTCCATACACCTGCAGTATAATCATTTGGATAATTTCAGACCTGGAAGTGACAATCTTTACTGGATAAAAGGTAAAATCGAATAAGTAGACCTTACTTGAAAAAATCTAGGAACCCGATTGCCTTGAAGAATGTGCCTAAAGTGGACTGTGAATCTAAAGCTGAGCTACTGGTAATTCCTCAGTGTAGTGTTCAGTAAATCCCTCTTTCATCTAACTAGCCTCAACAAGTTAAGTTTAACTTTAGTTTTCATAGCACTCATGTTGTGAATCTGAGCCAACTAATCAGTCATTTCCTCAAAGCAAAGTAAATGTTATTTATATACACAAGTTAGAGTAAAAACAGGTTTATTCCACAGTAACGCCATTTAGATCTGCATCAGGTACAAGAATTTCAATATTTATTTGTTTTTGAAAACAAAAAAAAAACAAGTAAAACTTTTGTTCATCTTAAGTTCTAACACATCATAAAATAATAAAGCTCGATCATTCCATGTCAACTCAAAAATGCTGGAAGAAGAAACAAAACAGGTGGAACAGGTTTAATCGAGCACAGACTGAAAGAACAGAGGAAGGATATAGAGACTTAAAGAACAGAGGGAGTATATAGAGATGGTCCTGGGATGATTCGGGAATGAGCGGAAAGGCTGTAGGAAAAACAGGGAGGCAGCAAAAGGAGGACCGGAACAGACTGGGAAATGGAGCCGGACTCAATAATACATCACTGTTGAAGTTATTTGTCTCATGTCAAGTTATGACACTATTTGTAAATCACAAAATAAAGGTCAATTTGACTTGATTATTGAACATTAATGAAGATATTTTATTGTTGACCGAGTGATCGTGTCTCTGAACAGTTAGTATTAGTCAAGTTTTAAACAATGACAAACAGTCATTGCACCAGCAATAAAAGGATCCATAAGTCCTTTTGATATTAAATATAGCCCATTTCTTTTTCTTTTTAACATTCAGTTGAGCCAGCAATATTGGAACAAAATAGTCATTAAAATAATTACAAAAAGATAAGAAATGATACAAAACATGTTTTAACATTTCAACATTTCTAATGAGATATTTGGGCCTGTCTGTGTTTTTGTAGCGTGTTCCAGTCCAGGTGCAGGAGGAGACGCCGCAGCAGATCAGGAGCAACATTCAGTTTGTTTCTGTGCTTTGTTTTTATTTTTGTGATCAGAGAAAAGCCCAGTTCACACAAATATGTAGTAGTGAAAGGAATAAGCAGAGAAACACTGGCCCCACTGAGGACAGGATATTCTGACAAAATGCTGATACAGAGTGATGATAAGGTCACAGATCAGAACTGTACATTGCAGACCTACATGCAGATTGTGACAAGGTGACCCCCCCAAAAAAATGTCTTGCTACTCACCTGAGGGTCGCGACCCAGTCTTTGGGAAACAATGCTCTAAACTCTCCTGGAGTTTATACCAGAGTTGTAGCTTTAGTCCTGTTTATCTTTCTGTACAGCAAAGACTTAATACTAAGACTTAATACTATATAAGAGTGTCTTACCTTAGTAGTATGCAGTACTGCGTGTATTTGGAGCAGAAATACTGTATAATTGTATACTGGGAAGTCTTCAACCTGAAGTGCCTTGTGTTTTCAGGACAAGCCCCGCCCCATCACACTTAACTCTTTCTTCACTCCTGTTTTTTTTTCGAAGCTTAAATACAAAAATGAGAAACTAAATCACATCTGAAGGACAGAGTAAAGTATAGAGCCTATAGAGTAGTAGTAGTAGTAGTAGTAGTAGTAGTAGTATTAGTAGTAGTAGTGGAAGTAGTAGTGGAAGTTGTCAAAGCTCAGTAGGCCTTTTTGAAGTATGAGGAGTATCTAGTAAAATATTTATCCTCTGAACTCCTAGAGTTTGTACCAGAGTACTCTTTCCTCACTCAGACCCATTTCAAGGTATTTGGGGGCCCTAGGCAAAGGGGTACCTGGGGCCCTGCCCGGCAAAGACCCTATGGGCACCTACACATGTTTACAGTGGAAACACATGTACAAATAACTTCAAAAGGCAAACAAATAAATGATTATGACTAAAATTCTAATGTTTCCCAAAGTGTTTCTCAAAAATTGCTTGTTTTGCATTCCCTTGCGGCCTCTAGTATGTACGAGACACTATGATGAAAGCTATGCCACCCTCACTGAAACTAACTCATGAACTAGAGGCCTGCATAAAAGCCAAGCAAACTGTTCTGCACTGAAACACTCTGCACCCTTTTATCCTCTGCACATTTAACAAACGCACGTCGTGACAAACACAGATGCATTTGTGCACTTTTATAACGCAAACTTCAGCCACATGTCGCGGTAGGTCTGTTCTGTGCTGTAGGCATCCTCTGTGCCAACACTGCAACTTACATTTAGATTAGTTTTTGCTTCACGTTTCTTCTTGCTCTTCTAATCAGTGCGCATTGAGGAGGGAGCGCGTGCGCTTTACGCGAGGAGGAGTGAAAGTGTGAAAGGGCGAGGAGCAGTGAGCTGACGTGATGTGAGTCAGATGGACCAACACAGTTTGGATGGACAGGTAGGATGTTTTAAGAAGTTTAACCTGCCCTGTGATACACGTTGGTACACGAGGGCACACGCTTTTGAAGACAACGCGCACGCAGAGAGTATGTGTGTTTGTGATGTGTCGCACAGTATCTGCAGGCTGCAGTGAGACACTCCCACACGCTCTCACTTTATTGCCGACAGCAGTGAACTTAATATGATCGCACTTGTCGAGTGTCAGACCTCGAATATGAGACAAGACCGAGTCCAAACGCAATCGACACGGCGATCTACCCACACTACCTTGCCGATCGACCGGTAGATCGTGATCGAGGTATTGGGCACATATTAGAATTTGTAGCCAGTTCGTGCACAAAGTTTACTTACTCGTGTCTTGCTCCTTAGAGGGTATAATTTCGTTTCATTTTGAACTGATCGCTGCTCAAACATTCATATGACTTGGCCGCCTGCGGGCCACTGCTCACAGTTAACGTACAGTGGGTCTGCCAAGGGTGATCTCAGCACTTTTCAGCACCTTTCGGTCATAGTTTTTAGGGAGGCGCTTTAAGGTAGCGCCGCCGCGATCACAAAGTGGTCATTGCTGGTATTTGAACACATAACCAGTCATTATCAGGGGGCCCCTCCAGAGCTGGGGGCCCTAGGCAATTGCCTGGTTTGCCTACCCGGTTGCCACAGTTCTGTCCTCATTCCTGGTTTTGTTCAGTGGAAATTAAACACACACACACCACATTCATACTGGGGAAGGTGGTGAAGTGTCTTGCCAAAGAACACAACAACAGTGCACTAGACGCTGCCAAACTGTGGTGCGTGACAGTTCCTCAGTTTGTGTTAGACTAATTTAGAAATAATTACACAGCAAGTTAAGTTTAACCTTTGTTTTCATAGAACTCATGTTGTGAATCTGAGCCAACTAATCAGTCAGTTCCTCAAATCTGAAATATGTAGTAACCTTTACTTTAAGTTCATCTTATTTGGTAAAACTATAGAAACCGACTGCTCGAACTGAGCAAGTAAATGTTACTTATATCCACAAGTTACAGTAAAAACAGGTTCTTTTCTGCAATAATGCCATTTAGATCTGCATCAGGTACAAGGACTTGAATATTTATTAGCCTTTATTTGCAAAACTTGGTTCAAAACACTTCGTAACGTGTAAGAATAAAACAATAAAGCTCAGTCATTCCATGTCAACTCAACCAAGACCCAACCAAGAGTCAGTTTTGTATAATACAGGAATTTTCAACGGTTACTTCCTGTTGGGAAAGCATGACATCTGTTTACTTTGTGACTTTGTGCTCTGTTCTGATCTGTTCTGATTTTGTGCGTCTGAAACAACTAATATTAATGGAGTAATTTAAAAACTGTCTTCCTGGAAAAGTGGCCTCCTATCTGAAAGAGAATAAAGCTTCTGATGTGTCTAAAGCTGCTGTGCTCGTGGATGAATAGATGCATCAAGAATCTCGGACTTCCGGTCATCGCGCAATTCATACTGGGAAGGATTTTCCGAAAAAGTGAGCGTCAAACTGCCATGTCTGTTTTCCCAGTGGGATGCGTCTGTTGACAAAGTCGATCTTTTCAAGTCTTTTGAACCATATCACTTTTGTTTCTGGTTCTGATATTGTCATATTTTAGTTTTGGGATTCGGACATCGTTAATTGTGTGGTCGTTGAATCCTAACAGCGGAAAACGGCTCGAGAAATTTGTTTGCGAACTCCATAAATGCAAATACGTTCAAACTGTTTCCCTTCCTAACGGAATTGAAAAATAGTGAAAGGTGAAGGTGATGGGCAGGATTGATCCACAGGAAGGACGAAAAAGGTAATCTTTGACTGCCTAAATCATCCTGAGTTTGCAGAGAACATTTTGTATGTGGAGCGATATTTGTAAATCGAGAGGTGCAGAAGACAAACAGACTGAGCTGCACTTTCTTGTTCTTGTGGTTTTACATCAACATCACGTCTTGGTCTCTTTGCAGTGGAAGGTGTTTCCTGGTGAACAGCTGGTGCCTTTCGCTTTGGCGTTGACTTTTTAAATTCGTAACCGAGGTTGAGCGAGGGATCAGGATTTTGCTTTTGGGCTGTTATGTAGCTTTCGTTAGCTGTTCGCCTTTTGTTGTGACGTGGTGGGACCGATTGTGCTGTTTTGGTTTTTCCTTTGCGTTCAGGTTTGTTGTTTTTTTTTGTCTTGAGTTGTTGGTTCTGGCACCAGTTTCTACGGCCCTGTACGGGTTTGGCCCAGAGTCGCACCTTTCTGTTCTGTTTGGCTGCCTCATCAGGTCGACCTTTCTGTTCATTACTTTTCATTATTTTGGGGGGCACGGGAGGGTTTTTCAATTCCTTTAAAACTGTTAAAAAAGGAAGAACACAACGAGAAAACAAGATCAAAAATAAAATACATTTAAAGCTAACTCTTGACTCGTGTGTCCTTTTAAATATGTGTCCTTTTCACATCACATTTGGGAATGTCATAATTATCACCTTTATGCAAAACGTAATAAAGGTGTGTCTTCTAACACACCCAGCAATTATTATCAGACAAATACAACTTATTTATTTAGTTGAAATTACATTTAAAGTATCAGAAAAAAATATGTTTCTTGCTTGTAAATAGTGCAGAACCTTTGGGCAGAATCGTCGACAGTGTTAAAAACTCTACTTATACTTATATCTATTATACTTATTATTAATATTTTTCACAAATTTCTTCTTATATAAAACTATAATTTATATTTAGAACAGTTATTATCCCACCAAATTAAGTCGTAATTACACAAAGCAAACCCAGCTTAGTTAAGTATAGGTTTCTTACATCCTCAATTCATGAAATAAAAATAACATACAGACATCCCAATTCTCCCATCTAAGACTTCTATACACCATGTCTCAATGAGCTTTAAATATGTCAAATTATCGCGTTAATTGCGATTAATTAATTACAGCATATGCGCGTTATGTGTTATAAAAACTGTATACTATATTTAGCCCAAAAACCCACACAAAACGCGCGCAGTAAGAGCGACGTTACGGCGTCAGTCGCACAATACGAGGTGGAAGAGCCAGTAGAACAGAGGCAGCAGTGCACAGGTAAAACACATTCGTGTCTTGGATGATTCTCCCGACGTTGAAATATAAAAGAAAATAACAAATATAATATCGCCTACAACTTAAATGTCACTGGTGAAAACAACCTGCATAGACTCATGTCTGCACTACTGTCCTATAGTGACCTGCCACATGAGGAACATGCACACAAACACACAAACACACAAACACAAACAAACACACACCTTCATCATCGTCATTAACCTGAGAACGCGTGGACCACGTTTCCTTCCGTAGTTACTGCGCGACAACGTGCTGCCGTGAGCCGCGTGTGGATCGTGTTTCTCGCGTACGCGGCGTAACCGAGCTTCCACCTGTGAGCCTCTAAACCAGAACTAACACCAAGACTAAAACCAGGACTAATCCAGTCCAGACTAAACCAGGACTAAACCAGGTCTAAACCAGGTCTAAACCAGGACTAAACCAGGACTAAAACCAGGACTAAAACCAGAACTAAAACCAGAACTAAAACCAGGATTAATCCATTCCAGGACTAAACTAGGACTAAAGTAGGACTAAAGTAGATCTAAACCAGGACTAAACCAGGTCTAAACCAGGACTAAAACCAGTGATCTCATATATAAAGCATTTCTCTATCAATAATATTTTTAATATGGTTAAGGAAAGACTGGACTTTTTATTGTCTTTAAGTAGACAAAAGTTATTATGTTCAGATTTCCTCGTCTTTGCTACTTTACAACAAACAGTTTCTTATTCATGGAGACTTGGGCTCAACAGACAAATTGGAGAGATTTGTTAAACAATAAATGACTTTATAAAGTCACTTTTTTAAATCTGTATCAGTCTTTTGATCTGCCACAATAATGTAAATGAATTTAAATGAAAATACCTCAAATTGAAGGCTTTTCTCAGCAATTTTTAGGTGAGATTAAAATGAGATTAATGAGATTAATTACAGATCATAATTAATTAATCTCTCAATTTTTTTAATCGCATGACAGCACTACTTTAAATATAATAAAATGCATATGTGTGTATAAAAACTATATAGCCCAACTTGTAATATTAGTTGTATTTTCACTTCCATCAGCAATACGTGGAATCATGATGGTTGATCAAACAACAACAAAACATGAAGTGATCATATTTACCGTTCCAATTTTGCATCTCAGTCTTTACCCGACCGAGTTGTGTGCATAGACTGTGATTGTGTAGGTGGAGATACATGGGATAAAGTGAGGACCGTCAGTGTCTCCGGATGTCTTTCCTGTACAAATAAAGTGTATTCAGTGACCTGCGTAATGACAAAACTTTACGGTTGACTTGAGCTCACCTCACATGTGGCAGCAAAAACAATTGCCAAAGTTTAGCAATGCAACACAGGAAAATTCAGCCATGGTACATGAGCCAGTGATACTCAATTTGATCAAGTAATTATTCACATTTTCATATATGTAGAACTGAATAAATGTGTTTATAAAAGCGGCGATGCTGACCAGCTCCAGGCTCACCTGATATGAAGTAATCACTGTAGATGAGGGCATTTTTAATCATCTACTCAGTCCAACCGCTTCTTCTGATGCTGGAAACCAAAGACGTCTCTCGTTTGCCTTGAAAGGGAAACGAGTTGATGGAAATACAGGTGTCAAACTCAAATTCACACAGGGTCAAAATTAAAACCTGCAACTAAGTCGTGGGCCAAACTAAATATTTAATGAAACATTTTAACATCTGTATGTTTTCTTTTCTTTCGAGATATGTAATATTAAACCTTTTCTTATTAAAATAAATGTTTAATAATAGTTTTGCTTAAACATTGAATCCAGAACAAGCAGAATATAAAATAAACTACATTTTAAATAAATAATGTCTCTATAGTCTATCTGTAGCCAGCGAGCCAGCTCTTATATATATATATTTGATATGATCTTGTGGGCCAAATATAATTATATCATGGGCCAAATTTGGCTCCTGGGCCTGAGTTTGACATGTCTCCTATAAAACTTACACGTTTTGTTGTTTTTATCAAAACAGTTTGTGCTTCCAGTAGCACAAAGACAAGACAGCAGCTCTTTCTGCAAACCACATGTGCAGTAGAGCAGAGTGACGTAGTCTGCTATTCCCTGATTGGCTGTTTAAAAAAATACAAATAAATAAATAAATAAATAAAACACATTTACGCATCAAACACTGTCAGGAAAAGTGCTGTGGCTGCACCACACTGCCATCTGCTGGTTGTTCAGTCGAGGAATATTTCAAAATTACGTCATGGAGAGAAAAGCAAAACAGGGATCGAAAATATATTTATAAATACACATTTATTTATACAAATTTGTTTATTTTTTTTGTCACTTTTTTATATTTGTTTTTTGTATTTGGATATTTGTATTTGTATATGTATGTATATTTATATATATATCATTTTTTATTTGTGTAAATCTTTATGAGACAATTCTCACTCCATACAAATTGGTCCCTGTACCTGCTGGCACTGTGAACTTCATTTGACTGGAGCTGAACACACTGTGAGTGACGTCACTTCATCCTTCAGTCCATTTTTTTATACGACCTATTTAAAGAATAACTATTGAGAAGAAACAACATTACACAAAGAACAACATTTTCAAAAGGATAGACACAAATATTAGAAACTAAATCACATCTGAAGGACAGAGAATAATTATAGAGCCTATAGAGCAGTATTTGTACTAGTAGTAGTAGTAGTAGTAGTAGTAGTAGTAGTAGTAGTAGTAGTAGTAGTAGTACTAGTGGAGGACGTTGTCAAAGCTCAGTAGGTCTTTTTGAAGTACAAGGATTATGTAGTAAAATATTTGTCCTCTAAACTCTCCCAGAGTTTGTACCAGAGTACTTTCCTCACTCCTGGTTTTGTTCAGTGGAAATTAAACACACACACACACACACCACATTCATACTGGGGAAGGTGGTGAAGTGTCTTGCCTAAGGACACAACAACAGTGCACTAGACACTGTGTTTTTCAAACTGTTGTGTGTAACAATTCCTCAGTTTGTTGGTTAGATTAATTTAGAAATAATTACACCGCAAGTTAAGTTTACTTGTGTTGCTAATACTGCTACTGCTATTACTGTTACTACTATTCACTACTGCTACTAGTACTACTACTATTATACTACTACTATTACTACTTAAAACGTCTACTACTACTACTCACTACCACTTGTTTTGATTGTTTCTACCTGATCTTCTTGATAATAAAAACCAAGAGCCACATTTTGTGAGATTTTACATTGTTTTATTTAGAGGAAAATCCTTCACCTGCAGGTTTGTCATGGTGAACTTCAGACACATGAGGAGAGACGCCCACAGTGGGTCGAGTGTTACTACAGGATCCATCAGGTCAAACAGCTGTTTGTGTCAGAAAATACAAGAGTCTGAACAAGACGAGGCACAAAATACAACAGACCCGGGCCTAAGACACGTTTATGACATATCAGGAGAAATAACAACGAAATACCCAACCTTTAAATTTGAGGAACAACTTCACTGCAAATCTGTGATTTCTGTCATACTGATTAGTACTTAAAAGTATTTTACTTCACACTGAGAAAAATATTACCAGGAAATACACACACATATATATATAACATACACAAAGTGCAGTACAAGCTGTCTTTGGTGATGAGTTTATCAGAAACTATTTGACATAAATGTGACAGTGGTTATTTTAATTCCAAGATGGAAAAAGATTACTACAAATTTTTTTTATAATTTTAGTTTTTTTCCATTAGGGATTCACAGATACCAATACCAGCACCTGGTACTTGCTTGTACTTGTACTTGTACTTGTACTTGTACTCGCCTGTACTGCTAAAACCAAGAACTGATTCCACTGTAGCTGCAGTGTGTTTTTATTTAACGCCCACGTCTCAGACGAGCAGAGAGCTGAACTTTGTGAGACTAAAACACTTAAATCTGATGTGACGGTCAAATGTTTTGATAGTTCATAAATGTTATCAGCTCAGTGCTTGTGTTTACGTAGTAGCATGCTAACATGGCTAACATGGCTAACATGGCTAACATGGCTAACATGGCTAACGTGGCTAACGTGGCTAACATGTGATTATAACTGAAAACCAAGAGCAGTCTGCAGTCGTATGGTTAGAAGTAAAAAGTAAAGGAGTATTAGATCTAACTATAATGATCTTAGTAGAAAAAAAACAGCTCCCACAAATAGGTACTGGTCTAAAGTAATTTAAAAAAGTAGCTCATCTTCTAAAGATAATACCGGGTATCGGTATCAAGTACTCAAAATGAAGTACTGGTACTGGTATCGGTTTTGGAAAAGTTGGCATTGGTGTTTTTCACAGAACACTCCACACGTTCACTCCTGGTCGTACTGGCTGGCTTCATTTCCGTCGTCCTCCAGCAGGGGCGTGCTCAGGTCCGTGCTCTCGCTCTTGTCTCGTGGGGATCTGAGGGCTTTGATGCTGAGAATAGTCGAGCTGAGACCCAAAAACAGGCCCAGGGCAGCCAAAACCACCATCACCACACTCAGCCCAAACACCACCCACTGGAGCACCTGTCGCACCACCAGACACCGCTGCACTGCCGCGTCCTCCTGGGGGTTGGGGGTAGTGGTTGGCCTCCCGCTCCAGTAATAATCTTCACCACGGCCCGAACACGGGAGCATGTAGGTGTAACTAAAAGAGATCAGTGGTGAGCAGGGCTATGGGAATAATGGGAAGTGGGACAAGCTCAAGCAAAGTACACAAAGAACAAAAACTACATGTGAATGAATACTTGTGTGAAATTACTCTTATTTTGGTACTTAGACAAAATTATTCTGCATTTTGGGGTTTTAATGGCAAATTAAGCATTGTTCTACTGGAAAATATCACATGATGAAAGTCACGTCATCTTAATTTTAGTAGTTTTGTTTATAGTTTAGATGTTCTACAACACTAGACCGAATTTTGACCCTATAGACCTTTTTCACAACTGCTGAAAGTGCCCCGTTGTAGATTTGCGCAACTTCCGGTTAATGGTTTTCTCTTTACAAAACATCTGTGGAAATGTCTGACGTATTCTCCACCAGCTTCATAAAACTGCCCCATCACCAAATCTTCAACCAACAAGGTCCACAAAGGATAAACATTCTTCACGAAGACTTTATCCACAACTATCAAGTGAAGAAAGACGAAAACGAACGGACGAAAAGGATCAGCATTAGTGAACTACTGAGCGAAAACTAATCTTATGGTCATGAAGACTTGGGCTGTCGCAACAACCGCAAAAATGAATCACCGCAGTACTAAGAGGCCCACTGCAGTGCACGTTGAGCCACCGCGATCACCGCACATGACCAACGTGACCCAACCCAGACCCGTTAACATTCCACCCATTACCGCCCGTGCCCGTGATAACCCAGGACTAAAGTGCGCCCACGTAGACCGTCTGGTGACCGCAGGCGAAAGGACCGGCGTAGAGCTCCGCACCGCACGGAGTCAAGTGCGGCCGTTGCCCGATCGTGCTTTGCGGACACCTGCTCCGCTTGCTCTCTTAAATCCGCGGGAACCTGAGCCGGTCCAGGACTCTGACCCGAGCTGCCACGGTGAGAGTTGGAGAGATGCAGCGGCACTTGTTGTTAGACCTGGTTTAGTCCTGGTTTAGACCTGGATTAGTCCTGGTTTAGTCCTGGTTTAGACCTGTTTTAGTCCTGTTTTAGACTTGGTTTAGACCTGGTTTAGTCCTGGTTTAGTCCTGGCTTAGACCTGCAATATCACCACATATTTATAAAATAAATAAATAAATAAATAAATACCACGCTGTTGAGCCACTACACCGCACCGCAGGAGAAATTCCCTCACCGCGACAGCCCTAATGAATACAACGGGGTCAGCCTCATTATCAGAAGACCTGAAGACCCTCTAGTCAGAAGGCCCACTAGTCAGAAGACCCTCTAGTCAGAAGGCCCACTAGTCAGAAGACCCACTAGTCAGAAGACCCTCTAGTCAGAAGACCCTCTAGTCAGAAGGCCCTCTAGTCAGAAGGCCCTCTAGTCAGAAGACCCTCTAGTCAGAAGGCCCACTAGTCAGAAGGCCCACTAGTCAGAAGGCCCACTAGTCAGAAGGCCCACTAGTCAGAAGACCCTCTAGTCAGAAAACATCCATGTTCAGGTAGTGTTACAAATTGTTACAAATGAAATTGTATTTCAAGTTTTAAATATTTTAAAAAGTAAACATTAAAAGTAATACATATATTAAACCCTTAAAATACGGCAAAAATATTTGAGGAAATAATGATTTGGGTGGAAATGGCGTCTTAAGTGTAACAGGGTTAATAATTGTCTGATTTTCAGGCAACAACTTGCAAAATGTTCAGTAATTCGAGCTCTACAACCTTCATTTCAATTTTATTTTAAATCTTTTTCTTTTAATAAAGCATTGGTGGGTTTGTAAACCAACAAATTAAGTAACGCTGGTCTTAGCTAATGCTGTTATGCATGATTATGTGTTTTCCTGTCAATATCTCTAAAAATGTTGATGTTGCAGCCATTTTTAAATTGGTATATATCCAAAAGTTTACTAATTCTTCCCTGATATCCAGAGATTATTCCCTGTTGCTTTCATCAAATATACATTCAGTTGTTCAAGAGAAATGTTGCTGACAAACCAATAGAAGAGGGAATGATTTTCTGACTAGTGGACCTTCTGATGATAAGGGTGTAACCGAATACAACATATAAGTAACTTGTTAACTCAAACTGATTCTACAATTAAAGTTAAAAATCAACTTCCTGATGTCGATATTATGGCTATCACAGGTTTAAGAATTTCCCCAGCTGTAACTTTACATGCCTTAGTTTTACAGACGAGTTACGAGGAAATATTATAATTCTTCAATGAGTAACACATAAAAAAGGAGGGAGGAGTATGCCTGTGCGTACCCTGAATGTCCCTATTGAATCCAGATGAATGTCCAAATTTAGGAATGTAGGAGTGCCACAGTGATTATTATCCACACTGTTCAACAAACCTGTTCTTTCTGACACTTGATAGTAGTGATACATGGGTCGACCCGTAAGATGCGGGTTCAGCCGTGTCGGATAACTTAAAGAAAAGAAGTAAAGCGGGTGTGGGTGCCTCGTCTGAAACATAATCTGTGGCTCTGATTAAGAAACAAGGGCGCAGGATTTTTGTATTCGCATGTGTTACCTGGACAAAGACGACAACTTTAGTTTTTATGCAATTATCGGCAAAGTAAAACAGTGCAACTAGAAAAAGGCGCGCGGTGGTCCTGTGCGCACGGGGCAGACACGTTATTAATAGTTTTATAGTTTTATACGCCTTGAAACTACACAAACGATGCTCCAGCGTGAATGCGACAGCGGTTGAACATACCGCAGTATTGCAATATTGCGGTTGCGGCGACAGCCCGATCCCTCGCTCAACCTCGGTTACGAATTTAAAAAGTCAACGCCAAAGCGAAAGGCACCAACTGTTCGCCAAGAAACACCTTCCACTGCAAAGAGACCGAGACGTGATGTTGATGTAAAACCACAAGGACAAGAAAGTGCGAGCTCGGCCTGTTTGTCTTCTGCACCTCTCGATTAACAAACGGGATCCCGCTTTGTTGGCGCTCCACAAACAAAATTTCGCTGCAAACTCGGGATGATTTCTTCGGCAGTCAAAGTTTCCTTTTTGGTCCTTCCTGTGGATCAATCCTGCCCATCGCCTTCGCTTTTCAGTATTTTTTAAGAGAAACAGTTTGAACAGAGGTTTGCAGTCACACACATCTGATTCCCGTTTGCATTTATGAAATTCGCAAACTTCCGAAGCTCGTTTTCCGCTGTTGGGACATCTAACAACTACACAATTACGATTACGATCCCATAACTAAAATATGACAATATCAGAACCATAAACAAAAGTGATGTGGTTCAAAAGACTAGAAAAGATCGACCTTGTCAATAGACGCATCACACTGGGAAAACAAACATGGTGATATGAACTGCGCAATGACCGGAAGTCCGAAATTCATGATGCATGTATTAAATCAGGGGTGTCAAAGTCATTTTGGTCCTGGGGTCGTATCCAACCTACTTTGATCCAAAAGGGGCCGGATTAGAAAACTCATGGAATATAAACCTCAAAAATAACAGTAAGTTCAAATATTTGTGCAGAGAAACGCAAATCTATTACAGAAATCTTTTTTTTAATTGATGAACTCTTTCTTTTACAAAATATATATTATTATGAAGAAGCTGAAACTTTAAGAAAAATACAGTTTCAACAAAGTTTTAACATTAACTTGTCTGCAAATAGGAATAAGTAAATTTTTCTTGGAAAATCCTGCACTCGGCTCCACTTTTCTTATTTTGGACATTTTTCTGATGAGGGTGTCACGGTCAACAGTCAAAACGATCGTCCTTTAAGAGCGTTTGGAAAGAGACAAGTCTTCATTTGTGCTGCTCTGGTGGGAGGGGCCACGTACAGAGACGCTGGAGACGCTGCTGTGATAAACACCACAGAAAATTAACAAGATTTTGATTTAAATATTTAAGTAGAAAATCAGCCAAGGGCCAGATTAAAGGTCTTGGAGGGCCGGATCTGGCCCCTGGGCCTTATGTTTGACACCTGTGTATTAAATGAACAATAGTAGTAGTAGAAGTAATAATAAAAACAGTAGTAGTAGTACCGATAGTTGTCGAACTGCGAGGAGTACCAGACGATGGCGACGATGGACATAGCTACTCCGGCCAGGTTGAAGATGGAGTTGAAGAGCAGGACACAGGGGCGTGGGTACTTCTCCGTCAGAATACTGCTCACCCCGAAGCCCACGAACAGCGCTCCCAACCACAGGGGGCAGAACAAGTCCCTGAGCATGTACGAAGCGCTGCCCCGAGTGAAGAGGAGGATGGAGCCCAGGGCCGCCTGCATCACACCGGCCATGATCCAGAGGGACCCCAGCACGGCGAGGGACCCGCGGCGAGGAATGGTCACGCGGCGGGACCTCGAGCAGAGCGCCGGGGTGTAGCACAGCGACCCCAAGAGCTGACAGACGGGAGGGCACGTGCTGGAGGTGTCAGAGGTCAGGGTGATTACAGTGGCCCCGTCGGTGCGCTTTCACGGACATGGCCATGATGTTGACCTGGACAGAAAAGAAAAAAAGTTAATCTTAGGATCATTATGTTTAACAATTTTGTAAAAACATCCACACTCCTTTTCAGAATTTGGCCGTTTTTTGTTTTTTTTGTTAAAATGGCTCATGTTTCAGTATTTTTAGATCTGTGTTTATGATTCTCTAATTACGACTTAATTTGGTGGGATAATACCTGTAAATATGAATTATAATTTTACCTAGACCTGTTTCAGACCTCGTTCAGACCTGATTTAACCCTGGTATTAGTCCTGGTTCAGTCTTGGTTTAGTCCTGGTTTAGTCCTGCTTTAGTCCTGGTTCAGTCCTGGTTTAGCCCTGGTTTAGTCCTGGTTTAGTCCTGGTTTAGTCCTGGTTTAGTCCTGGTTTAGTCCTGGATTAGTCCTGGTTCAGTCCTGATTCAGGCCTGGTTTAGTCCTGGTTAGTTAGTCCTGGTTTCAGTCCTGATTTTAGTCCTGGTTTAGTCTTAGTTTAGTTCTGATTTAGTCCTGCTTTAGTCTTGGTTAAGACCTGCTTCAGTCCTGGTTTAGTCCTGGTTTAGTCCTGGTTTAGTCCTGGTTTAGTCCTGGTTTAGTCCTGGTTTAGTCCTGGTTCAGTGGTGAAAGCAGAACAGTTTTTGAGGAAGTTGTCAGATTCCTTTTTCAAACTCTGTTCTGCTTTAGTCTTGGTTAAGACCTGCTTCAGTCCTGGTTCAATCCTGGTTTAGTCCTGGTTCAGTCCTGGTTCAGTCCTGGTTTAGTCCTAGTTTAGTCCTGGTTTAGTCCTGGTTTAGTCCTGGTTTAGTTCCTGGTTTAGTCCTGGTTTTAGTCCTGGTTTAGTCCTGGTTTAGTCCTGGTTCAGTCCTGGTTTAGTCCTGGTTTAGTCCTGGTTTAGTCCTGGTTCCCTGGTTTAGTCAGTCCTGGTTTAGTCCTGGTTTAGTCCTGGTTTAGACCTGGTTTAGTCCTGGTTTAGTCCTGGTTTAGTCCTGGTTTAGTCCTGGTTTAGTTTAGTCCTGGTTTAGTCCTGGTTTAGTCCTGGTTTAGTCCTGGTTTAGTCCTGGTTTAGACCTGGTTTAGTCCACCTGGTTCCTGTTTAGAGTCCTGGTTTAGTCCTAGTCCTGGTTTTAGTCCTGGTTTAGTCCTGGTTCCTGGTTTTAGTCCTGGTTTAGTCCTGGTTCCTGAGTCCTGGTTTAGTCCTGGTTTAGTCCTGGTTTAGTCCTGGTTTAGTCCTGGTTTAGTCCTGAGTCCTGGTTCCCTGGTTTAGTCCTGGTTTTAGTCCTGGTTCCCTGGTTCAGTCCTGGTTTAGTCCTGGTTTAGTCCTGGTTTAGTCCTGGTTTAGTCCTGGTTTAGTCCTGGTTTAGTCAGTCCTGGTTTAGTCCTGGTTTAGTCCTGGTTCTGGTTTAGTCCTGGTTTAGTCCTGGTTCCTGGTTCCTGGTAGTCCTGGTTTCCTGGTTTAGTCCTGGTTTTTTAGTCCTGGTTTAGTCCTGGTTTAGTCCTGGTTTAGTCCTGGTTTAGTCCTGGTTTAGTCCTGGAGTCCTGGTTCCCTGGTTTAGTCCTGGTTTAGTCCTGGTTCCTGGTTTAGTCCAGTCCTGGTTCCTGAGTCCTGGTTTAGTCCTGGTTTAGTCCTGTTTAGTCCTGGTTTAGTCCCCTGGTTTAGTCCTGGTTTAGTCCTGGTTTAGTCCTGGTTTAGTCCTGGTTTAGTCCTGGTTCAGTGGTGAAAGCAGAACAGTTTTTGAGGAAGTTGTCAGATTCCCTTTTTCAAACTCAAGGATGACGCAGGAAAATATTTGTCCTTTAACTCGCCCACAGTTTGTTTACAGTCGCACCTTTAGTCCTGTTCATATATAAAACCGTCTTACCGTAGTAGTTTGAAGTACTGCGAGTATTTGAGGCGGAAATACTGTATATTTGTGTACTAGGATCTTTGCACCCAGAAGTTCTCTGTGTTTTCCAGACAAGCCCCGCCCCCTTTGATTTAACTCTTTCCTCACTCCTGGATTTATTTTGTGACGTCGTTGTATTTTCGAAGGATAGACACAAAGTAGTAGTAGTAGTAGTAGTAGTAGTAGTAGTAGTAGTAGTAGTTGTTGTTGTCAAAAATCAGAGGCCTGTTTGAAGTTCAAGGACAAACTAGGAAAATATTTTGTACACAGAGTTGTAGCAGAGGTAGTACTGATATATAAGAGCGTCTTACCGTAGTAGTAGTAGTAGTAGAAGTATGCAGTACTGCGAGTCTTTGCAGTGGAAGTACTTTATCTTTATGGTCGTGTACTTGGATCTATGTATCTCTGACCCAGAAGTTCTCCGTGTTTTCCCGACAAGCCCCGCCCCCTCAGACTTAACACTTTCCTCACTCCTGGGTTTGTTGTGGCCTAGTTTAGACCTGGTTTAGTCCACGTTTTAGACCTGGTTTAGTCCACTTTTAGACCTGGTTTAGTTCACTTTTAGACCTGGTTTAGTCCACTTTTAGACCTGGTTTAGTCCTAGTTTAGACCTGGTTTAGTTCACTTTTAGACCTGGTTTAGTTCACTTTTAGACCTGGTTTAGTCCACTTTTAGACCTGGTTTAGTCCTAGTTTAGACCTGGTTTAGTTCACTTTTAGACCTGGTTTAGTCCACTTTTAGACCTGGTTTAGTTCCTGGTTTAGTCCTAGTTTAGTCCTTTTAGTTTAGACCTGGTTTAGTTCACTTTTAGACCTGGTTTAGTCCACTTTTAGTTTAGACCTGGTTTAGTTTTAGTCCTAGTTTAGACCTGGTTTAGTCCTTTTAGAGACCTGGTTTAGTCACTTTTAGACCTGGTTTAGTCCTAGTTTTAGACCTGGTTTAGTTCACTTTTAGACCTGGTTTAGTCCACTTTTAGACCTGGTTTAGTCCTTTTAGACCTGGTTTAGTCCACCTGGTTTAGTCCACTTTTAGACCTGGTTTAGTCACTTTTAGACCTGGTTTAGTCCACTTTTAGACCTGGTTTAGTCCACTTTTAGACCTGGTTTAGTCCACTTTTAGACCTGGTTTAGTCCATTTTTAGACCTGGAATAGTCCTAGATTAGACCTGAAATAGTCCTGTTATAGACCTGGTTTAGTCCACTTTTAGACCCGGTTTAGTCCTAGTTTAGATCTGGTTTAGTTCACTTTTAGACCTGGTTTAGTCCACTTTTAGACCTGGTTTAGTTCTCTTTTAGACCTGGTTTAGTCCTGTTGTAGACCTGGTTTAGTCCTGTTGTAGACCTTGTTTAGTCCACTTTTAGACCTGGTTTAGTCCACTTTTAGACCTGGTTTAGTTCACTTTTAGACCTGGTTTAGTCCACTTTTAGACCTGGTTTAGTCCACTTTTAGACCTGGTTTAGTCCACTTTAGACCTGGTTTAGTCCACTTTTAGACCTGGTTTAGTCCACTTTTAGACCTGGTTTAGTCCACTTTTAGACCTGGTTTAGTTCACTTTTAGACCTGGTTTAGTCCACTTTTAGACCTGGTTTAGTCCACTTTTAGACCTGGTTTAGTTCACTTTTAGACCTGGTTTAGTCCACTTTTAGACCTGGTTTAGTCCACTTTTAGACCTGGTTTAGTCCACCTTAGTCCACTTTTAGACCTGGTTTAGTCCACTTTTAGTCCACTTTTAGACCTGGTTTAGTCCACTTTTAGACCTGGTTTAGTCCACTTTTAGACCTGGTTTAGTTCACTTTTAGACCTGGTTTAGTCCACTTTTAGACCTGGTTTAGTCCACTTTTAGACCTGGTTTAGTCCATTTTTAGACCTGGAATAGTCCTAGATTAGACCTGAAATAGTCCTGTTATAGACCTGGTTTAGTCCACTTTTAGACCCGGTTTAGTCCTAGTTTAGATCTGGTTTAGTTCACTTTTAGACCTGGTTCAGTCCTGTTGTAGACCTGGTTTAATCCTGTTGTAGACCTTGTTTAGTCCACTTTTAGACCTGGTTTAGTTCACTTTTAGACCTGGTTTAGTTCACTTTTAGACCTGGTTTAGTTCACTTTTAGACCTGGTTTAGTCCACTTTTAGACCTGGTTTAGTCCACTTTTAGACCTGGTTTAGTCCACGTTTAGACCTGGTTTAGTTCACTTTTAGACCTGGTTTAGTCCACTTTTAGACCTGGTTTAGTCCACTTTTAGACCTGGTTTAGTCCTGTTATAGACCTGGTTTAGTCCACTTTTAGACCTGGTTTAGTTCACTTTTAGACCTGGTTTAGTTCACTTTTAGACCTGGTTTAGTCCACTTTTAGACCTGGTTTAGTCCATTTTTAGACCTGGAATAGTCCTAGATTAGACCTGAAATAGTCCTGTTATAGACCTGGTTTAGTCCACTTTTAGACCCGGTTTAGTCCTAGTTTAGATCTGGTTTAGTTCACTTTTAGACCTGGTTTAGTCCACTTTTAGACTTTTAGTTCCTTTTAGACCTGGTTTAGTCCTGTTTAGACCTGTTTAGTCACTTTTAGACCTGTTTAGTCCACTTTTAGACCTGGTTTAGTTCACTTTTAGACCTGGTTTAGTCCACTTTTAGACCTGGTTTAGTCCACGTTTAGACCTGGTTTAGTCCACTTTTAGACCTGGTTTAGTCCACTTTTAGACCTGGTTTAGTCCCTGTTTAGACCTGGTTTAGTCCACTGTTTAGACCTGGTTTAGTCCACTTTTAGACCTGGTTTAGTCCACTTTTAGACCTGGTTTAGTCCACTTTTAGACCTGGTTTAGTCCACTTTTAGACCTGGTTTAGTCCTACTTTAGACCTGGTTTAGTCCACTTTTAGACCTGGTTTAGTCCACGTTTAGACCTGGTTTAGTCCATTTCTAGACCTGGAATAGTCCTAGATTAGACCTGAAATAGTCCTGTTATAGACCTGGTTTAGTCCACTTTTAGACCTGGGTTAGTCCCAGTTTAGACCTGGAATGGTCATGTTATAGACCTGGTTTAGTCCTAGATTAGACCTAGAATAGTCCTGGTTTAGTCCTACATTGGACCTGGAATAGTTCAACCATATTTTGATTTTTTATTTATTTATTCAAGGCTTAAACTGAACTGAAACAAGACTAAACCAGGACTAAGTCAGGACTAAACCAGGACTAAACTAGGACTAAACCAGGGTTAAACCAGGACTACACCAGGACTAAACCAGGACTACACCAGGACTAAACTAGGACTAAACCAGGACTAAACTAGGACTAAAGCAGGAGTAAACCAGGACTAAGTCAGGACTAAACCAGGACTAAACCAGGACTAAACCAGGGTTAAACCAGGACTAAACGAGGGCTAAACCAGGGCTAAACCAGGGTTAAACCAGGACTAAACCAGGACTACCTCAGGTCTATATTCGGACTAAACCAGGACTAAACCAGGGTTAAACCAGGACAAAACTAGGACCAAACCAGAACTAAACTGGGACTATATCAGGACTAAACCAGGGTTAAACCAGGATTAAACCAGGACTACATCAGGTCTATATTTGGACTAAACCAGGACTAAATCAAGGCTAAACCAGGGCTAAACCAGGACTAAACCAAGGTTAAACCAGGACTAAACCAGGACTACACCAGGACTAAACTAGGACTACACCAGGACTAAACTAGGACTACACCAGGACTAAACTAGGACTAAACCAGGACTGCATCAGGTCTATATCCGGACTAAACCAGGACTAAACTAGAACTATATCAGGACTAAACCAGGACTAAACTAGGACCAAACCAGAACTAAACTAGGACTATATCAGGACTAAACCAGGGTTAAACCAGGACTAAACCAGGACTACATCAGGTCTATATTCGGACTAAACCAGGACTAAACCAGGACTAAATCAAGGCTAAACCAGGACTAAATCAAGGCTAAACCAGGACTAAACCAGACTAAACCAGGACTAAACCAGGGCTGAATCAAGGCTAAACCAGGGCTAAACCAGGACTAAACCAGGACTACCTCAGGTCTATATTCGGACTAAACCAGGACTAAACCAGGACTAAACCAGGGCTGAACCAGGACTAAACCAGGGTTAAACCAGGACAAAACTAGGACCAAACCAGAACTAAACTGGGACTATATCAGGACTAAACCAGGGTTAAACCAGGATTAAACCAGGACTACATCAGGTCTATATTCGGACTAAACCAGGACTAAATCAAGGCTAAACCAGGGCTAAACCAGGACTAAACCAAGGTTAAACCAGGACTAAACCAGGACTACACCAGGACTACACCAGGACTAAACTAGGACTACACCAGGACTAAACTAGGACTACACCAGGACTAAACTAGGACTAACCAGGACTGCAGGTCTATATCCGGACTAAACCAGGACTAAACTAGAACTATATCAGGACTAAACCAGGACTAAACTAGGACCAAACCAGAACTAAACTAGGACTATATCAGGACTAAACCAGGGTTAAACCAGGACTAAACCAGGACTACATCAGGTCTATATTCGGACTAAACCAGGACTAAACCAGGACTAAATCAAGGCTAAACCAGGACTAAATCAAGGCTAAACCAGGACTAAACCAGGACTAAACCAGGGCTGAATCAAGGCTAAACCAGGGCTAAACCAGGACTAAACCAGGACTACCTCAGGTCTATATTCGGACTAAACCAGGACTAAACCAGGACTAAACCAGGGCTGAATCAGTTTAGCCCAAACAAAGGATGAAACAGGACTCCCCCCCCCCCCCCCCCCCCCGGCTGTTTTCCCAGAATGCCGTGCGGCTGCTCGGGCTGATGTTTTGGCACTGGTGCGGTGATCACCGTCTGTGCCAGAAACTGTGCCGAGGTTTGGGAGCGAGAGCCCAGCCTGTCTGTCACCAGAGGAACACAGCAACCAGAGCCAAGACGAGGACGAGAGGACGAGAGGACGAGAGCAGACTGACAACTGCTCCACACCTCAGACAGGCCTGGTTCAGTCCTGGTTCAGTCCTGGTTCAGTCCTGGTTCAGTCCTGGTTCAGTCCTGGTTTAGTCCTGGTTTAGTCCTGGTTCAGTCCTGATATAGTCCTGATATAGTCCTGATATGTCCTGGTATAGTCCTGATATAGTCCTGATATAGTCCTGGTCCTGGTTCAGTCCTGGTTCAGTCCTGGTTCAGTCCTGGTTTAGTCCTGATTAGTCCTGATATAGTCCTGGTTCAGTCCTGGTTCAGTCCTGGTTCAGTCCTGGTTCATCCTGGTTCAGTCCTGATATAGTCCTGGTTCAGTCCTGGTAGTCTGGTTCAGTCTGGTTCAGTCCTGGTTCAGTCCTGATATAGTCCTGGTATAGTCCTGATATAGTCCTGGTTCAGTCCTGGTTCATAGTCCTGATATAGTCCTGATATAGTCCTGATATAGTCCTGG